CTTGTTACGATGTGAGCTACGTCTTGCTATAGATGGATTCATGGAGGATCGTTTGGTGATCACTTGTTGAGCATAACTTTGCTATGCTTAGCTTTTGGATTGATGCAGAAATGCTCTTCATTAGCTTTGCATTATAAAGTTTGGCTTATGAATATGTTGAGGAGGATATTGTGGGTTGCACCATGATTTCTTCTTTAACATTGAAGTTGGTTCATGCAAGACCTGTGATCATTGTTAGACAAGATATGGCTATAGGCTTCTTCAAGCTTTTGGTTCTTTGAGTTTTATGTTCATTGTTCCATTTGTTAGAAGTTGTTGGGAAAGGCATTTTGGCTCCTAGCTTCGATGTTGAAGTTAGTATTTGCATCTAGCAATCATTGGTGATGATTGACTATCATCTAGGATAGTTGATTATCCTTGTCAAAAAAAAAAAAAGTTTTGCTTGATTATTGTTGGTATAGATTGGTTTGCCGTTCTTCGGGATGGTGGATTCCTTCTTAGACGATGATTATGCATCTCTTTATTGATGGGATGATTGATGATCTTTCATGATGGTTAGTTGTTCTCTTTGATGGCTTATGGCTTTTCGCAATACCACATGTTCTTTGTGGTTTGCTCTGGATTGGTCTCTTGGGTTGAGACATCAGTAGGATGTTGCTGACACTTGCTTAGGCAACTTGAGTTCCTTGGTGTTATTGGCTGGGATCTATCCGGATTGGCTAGTGCAATGGTTAATATGAATAAGCGTTTGTTTGCTTTGCAACATTCATTTTGTTCTGTTGATTATTGCTTGAGTTAGTTTTCATAGATTAGGATGTTATTTCCTTCAGGTGATACATTCGCGAGCATTGTGCTTGTTAGTCAATGATACTTTGTGTTCTTTGAGTTGTGTTTTGTGAGTTGTTTAGCATGCTATCTGCCATTTTCGGTAGCTAAGTTTTATCATTGAGTTTCCTTGATGATCTACTTGCTATTGAATTTGTTGGATGGTGATTCCTATGTTTATCAATTATGATGATCTTGGTGGTTCCTATGCTGTAATCCTAGTTTATCAGATAATACCTTACTTGGAATACTTTTGTTCTAATATAAGATTTATTCACTGATAATTCCGACTCTAAGATATCATTGTCTATGACTTTGATATTGTCCATCTATTGATCTTTGAGTTTGGGCCAGTAATAGGCAGACTGGCTTCGGCACTTCGTGTGCATGTTGAAATCTCTAGTCATGGGGTAGCTACTGTCGACTGGTCACATAACCCGCCTCTCTGTCGATGTTCCTTATTCCGTTGAAAGGGCGTGACCGTGTAAACAACTCTAACTGCCTGTTTACAGTAATCTATCTAAACCTTACCAACGGGTTTAGTTTCTTTGCTTAGGAGGGTTGGGGCCTCTGGTTTCTCTCTCTATGTTCCTGCGGGCAGGGGCATATCACACTTTTGTAGCTGGGTGACCCCCAGAGCAGCAAGGGTGGCTGACTTCGTTGGTCATTTCCTTGTCGGCGACGGCCGGAAGGTGTCTGAGCTGGTAGCGCATCCGTGTTAGACAAAGAGGTTGCCCCCTAACTCATTTAAGTTGGTGCATTTCTCACATAGTGTGAGTACCGTGAACTTTTTATGGAGTTGTTTCCTTGGCGGTATTCTAGACTGGAGTATGCATCGACGAGGACGTCGATCTTCTCTAGGGGGGGAGAGTGTCGCGAATGTGACTTCGGGTATCGAAAGTTACCTGTCGGCTAGTCCTTACGGACACTCTTACCTTACTGCCACGATAGCAGGAGGTCGGTATTGCTGGACCCTTTATTAGTCCCTCTTGTTCAAGTGTTAGTAAACTGGACTTTGCATCTGTATTTGGCCGGATGAGCATAAGGAAGGAATTCTTAAGTGTCTATTTAGCTGAGCATACTCGGCCCGGCTTGTTAGTTTTCTTTTGCTCTGTCTTGCACTGGCTTGACAAGAACCCTCGCGTATTGAGATTGGTCCCTCAATATCGCTACATGATAGCTTACCGTGTCTGCCAAACACCCTCGCTATCATGCCCTTTGTGTTAGTCTCAAATTGTCCCAGATGCTATTTATGGAAAGTGTCCAGATTTGCTCATTTGGCATATCTACGGAATGTAGAGATCATTCTGAACACAATGGTGTTCGTCCCATGTCCAAATTCGCAATCTAGGGACATTCCATATTTAATAAGTTTTGAGCTTGTCCCAGAGACTAACTCCTGATACTAAGGGAGGCTTGGGGTGAAAGCCCAAAGCGTGTGTTCCTCAAGGGGGGGGGGGGGGCTATGGGGGGTTCTAAATGTATAGTAGGGATAGTGGGTAGGTCGGGCATGGTTGACCAACCTGAGGCATAGTCTAGCTCTCGCTTGCGTGCTTGTCCTTGTTCTGCGTCCGGCTTGGGTCTAAGCCCAAGTTCCATTCCATGCTAGCTGGTGGAGTACCCATATCCTCACGTTAGGCCACTGGTATGCTGAAATAGCGTCAAACTCCGTTTGGCTCCGTTTTGCGTGCTGGTCCTGGCATTGGGATGCTGGTTGCTCTAGGACTGTTCCAAGTCGCTCCGGGCCCCTGTCCCTTCGCTCCTTGGGCTGTATGCTCAAGAGTTACTCCGTGGTTCGGTTCCATCACTCCTTGGCTCCACGCTTGGGAGTTTGGCATCGTTCGTTCAGTGGCCCAAGGCCCTGAACCTCGGGTTCCTATGGACACGTGGCATGTGACACGTGGCATCTGTCACGTGGCACAAAGAGGGTTTAAGTTCCGCTTCGTGGTGTTATCCTATGGTAAATCATCATAGGACAAAGGGTCAAAACCACGTGCGCTACACATAGTGAGGAAGTTCTAGAGGACAATAGGACTTAGTGGTCAAGCCTGTGGGCCTTGACCCAGTGGCAGTGTTGGCGAACACAGCCATGGACAAAATAAGACTTGGTGGGGACAAAAAAAAAGGATATTGAGGAAGACTATTCCCTATATCTATAGGCATCCTAAGGATGTTAAAGAATGGATTTGGGATGATCACTCATCTGTCTTTAAGAGACAAGATTGTGATGTAGGTGGTGTTGGATCACCAGTGTGATAAAGGTGAATGGGCATGGCCTTAGCATAATAGGCTAATATGTCGGTGGTACTTTTGTGTGTCAGTCATGAAATCGGATACATGGAGCACTTAAACCAGGTGCAAAGGTTGAGTGGTAGGGATGCCATTCTCAAAGCTAGCAAGCCCCAAGTCCAAAATAAGACTTATGGAGGTTGTGAGTGAAACTCTTTCAAATGGTTGGAGGTGTGGTTAAATGACTAAAGTAGAATGGAAAATTTAGTCATTTATAATGGAATTGCAGTCTTTTTTCACTCTGATAAACTCATGTAAAAGTGTTTTAGATTGTTGTGCCTAGAAACACGAAAGAACTTATTAGAATTACTTAAATATTTTTTAAATTGGATCCTAGTGTGAGGCCTCACCCTAAGTGAAAGGGGTAATGGAAGTAATTCTAATAGCATGAGGGCTCAAGAATGGATGGGGTGTATAAAAGGGTAGTGGAGGTAATTTATTAGCATAAGGCCTCACACCTAAGAATGGATGGGATGTGTTTGCCAATTCCTTGATAATAATCTTACTTGCCCATTCGTCCTATGGACAGACGTTCAAGCAAGATTACCATCAAGAAACTAGACAAACCAAAATCCTTTTAGCACTTTAGCACGAGGCCTCACGCTAATCCTTAAGCATGAGTCCAATCACAATGTGTTAATGGAGGTTACTAGCACAAAGCCTCACACTTAGGATTGCTTGTGATATTTTTCCCAGTTTCTTAGTGACAATCTTATTCATTTGTGCAATAAACATACATGCAAAGGAGATTTCACTAGGCTAGAGGAGGTGGGTGGGCTTTTTTTCTTAGCGTGAGGCCTCACACTAAGGTTTTTGTGTGAGGTTGGACACCATCCATTTGCAAATTAAATTAAGGTATTATGGAGGGATGAAGTCATTTTCTTGGCATGAGGCCTCATGTTATTCATTTATATGCATTTGTTTCTTATTACTTTAGGTGTCTAGGTGAGTAATCTTAATTCATCTTTGGGGTAAATGTTTGAACAAGATTGCTCCCCAAACACTTGCAAGACTAGGGAAATAATGGAAGGTGTTTGCTTAGCATGAGACCTCATGCTAAGGTTTTTACCTGAGGTCAGACACCATACTTTGTGGGTGGGTTTTAGGTGTGCTGATGCAATGAAGGCTTTTCTTGGCATGAGGCCTTATGCTAAAGGCTTCACCAAAAGACTTAGTGCAGGGCCTTAAGTTAAAACATTGGTGCAAGGCCTCATTCTAAAGAATTTTTTTGTTTTGTGCTTTTGTTCTGGCTTTAGCGTGAGGCCTTAGGCTTAGATTTTTCTCAGCTATTAGTTTCAAGAAAGGTAACTAGCTTTAGTGCAAGGCCTCACGCTAGATTTTTTCTGGCTATTGTTTCAGTAAAGGCGACTATCTTTAACACAAGGCCTCACACTTATGGCAATAGAAAAAATGATTGGCTTTAGCACAAGTCCTCACACTTAGACTTTTTCATGGCAATAAGAAAGGTGACTGGCTTTAGCACGAGGCCTCACGCTCAGACTTTTCCATGACTATCAGTTTCAGGAGAAGTACATGTCCAATATAATGGCCTTAGTGTGAAGTTGCACGTTAAATTTTGGCTTGGTGCAGGAGCTATTAAATGCTAAGCCTTTCAGTCTGGGTTGGAAAAGTCCCACGCCAAGCTTGGCTTTGCATGTGAAATGGAAGTTCTAGTGAGGGTTAGGGTTCCTGAGAGGAGAGGGAGAGGAGAAAAAACTCACAATTTTTTGCTTGCGAAGAAATTTAAGCTACTTGTGGTTGCCAATTCCAGCATTTGACATTCTTTATCCCGTCAAGTCACCAAAGAACTTGTCGCAGCAATTCGCATCGATGATCACTTGTCTGATAATAATGCTCTATTCCAACAAGGTCCCGTATTGAAAGGATTTAAGTGGTGACTATGGCCTCGATATCATTGATTTAAATCTTGATGTCAGCGAGAATGGATGATGGAGCTTGTACAGTTTCCCGGTGTATAGTCTTGATTTTGGGTGCTTGCAGAAGCATAACACTATGGGGCAGTTAGAGAGCGTGAGCTCGAAGAGAAAGAATTAATCGCGGAGATTTGGAATGCATCCGGCCGATGGCGGCGACGCGCATATCGATCAGTCTGCGGGGGAAATAGGGGAAAGAAGCGAAGGAAAAGCGCAAGAAAGGATCGGGAAAACGAAGATACGGGAATTTTCTCTCTTCGCGTTATCCAAAACAACTACACTCTCCTACTTTGCAGCGATTTTCATCCACCATGTCTTTGCTTGAATCTTGAAACTGGCCTTGCCGGCATGGAGGTGCTTTCGGGTACCTGGATTGATCGTAGCTGTATAAGTTGACGCTTGAGAGAAATGTTAAAGCTTACCTTGGTATCAAGAACAGCACCTCCTGGTGTTCGTTCGATCACAGAACCAAATACCTGGAAACAAAAAACTTCTTTTTGAGATTTTTTCTTAAGCTCTACAAATTTACCTTTGATGGCTCATGCTGGGAACTTCGTCGGCTCTGTGGATCCATAGCCTTGTTCCCTTCGGTTTCGTGCACCGTGTCGACGATATCGGCCTCGGGAAGATCAAAAGTGACGCGCTTTTCCGCTTTCTTGTCGTGATTTCGCTTCTCGGGACGATCTGGAGTAGACGTAGACGTTTTGTTCCAAGTCTTTTGCTTCCACATCTCAAACTGGACAAAAAAAGGAGAAGTTCTATCAGAGGCTGTTCGAAAACAAAACAATCGAGGCTCAAAAACTTACGTTTACGAGATCGCCCGGATTTGTGATGGCAGGAGGTCCTTCCGGCTCAGAAGATGGTGTTCCCATTTTCGCAAGAGTGTCATCATCTAGAAAACCATCTTGATCATACTCATCCTCATATTCTTTAGCCGCTGCTGCCGCTTCTTCGGCTTCCAATTCCGAAAATCGTGCCATCAAGCGCTCATGCTCGAGATCTTCACCAGATCCCAGCGGCCTTTTCCCTGCCAAAATCATGAATCAGTAAAATAGCTTACGGGAAAAATCCATGTAAACTTTACACCTTGGGTTTCTAGACTTTGCTCCGCAGTGGGGGGTGGACCATCGATTTCTTCATCGTATTCTTCTCTGATGTCCACTACGCCAGCCTAACCACGGTTGTGGATTTGTCGAATGCGTGAGAGATAGAAGAGGAAGAAACAAACTTACAGCAGCTTCTTCGGCAGCAGTGCTTGCGAAAGTGGCCTCCGCTCGAAGGTCAGCGATCTGCGAGTTGATGCTCTCGATGTTGGAGTCGAGAAACTTTGCTCGTCTCATTAAGAGTTCCAGAGTTTGCTTCGCGGATCGCTCTGCGTAGTAGCCTTCTCCGAGCAAAACCTGGACTAAGGAGAAAGACGTGTAAATAGCAACGCGAATTTCTTACCAGCATTTCATTGGTATGAACAAGCTTTCCAGGGAAGAAGGCAGCTTTTCCAAACGGCACCTACGATGGATGGATGGATCGTCAAATGGATGGAAAAGAGATACACACCATGATATTGTAAGCGACATTGTGTGGGAGCTCCTGGACGAGCTTGTGGATGGCGCGATTGTCGTCGGCGAAAGATTGGAGCTGCTGGAGCTTGTCGGCGTGCTCGCGGATGGCGCCCTGGATGCGATCGCTGGCCTGCGCTAGCTCGCCCACGGGGAGAAGCTCCGCCAGAGGCGTCACGGTGCCCTTTCTCCCCATTTTGCGAGGATTTAGGGTTTAGCATTGAAAGGAATATTCTAAAATTGTGGGATTATTATAATTATGTCTAGAATATGCCTCAGGGTTGCTAGCTTTTGGTATGCTTCCAGAGCATGTAGAGGAGAGGATTTTAATGTTCTTGCATGTAAAAGCTCTACTACGCGCAAGATCTGTGTGCCACAGATGGAGAGCAGTGATTGACAGTGAGGAGTTTGCCAAATCCAGGCTAGAGATTTCGAGGCAGCATCCACTCGTTCTTGAATATACACAAGATCATGTCCAACACTACTGTTTGTCGTCCTTAAAGATCTACGATCCTTTCAGTAGCAGCGACGCAGCTGTTTTGCAAGATCCGGACTGGGAGCTCGTTGCTTACGCCGGTGGCCTGCTTTGTTTCTCCGCCTCGAGGGGTGTAAACAGCGGGAGGTTTGCGGTGTGGAATCCCCTAAAGCGGAACTCATTTGTGGTGCTGCCAGGTAGATCACAGACGGAAGTCTCAGCTGAAGAACTCTCTACTTATCTATCTATATGCTGTTTATGGTCTAGCAGTGCAGCATGAATGCAAAAATGGAAGTGTTTCGTGAGTTGTTGAAATCTTGCTCCAAGCTTCACACTCGCCACACCACCATCTTCTTTGCAGTCATGCTTTATGATCAATGCTTTGGTCCCAAGCTCACCCCAAAGTTGATGTTTGAGGTGATTGACTTTATTTGACTCATTGACCTGGTTGTGGTAGTACGCGCCAGCGGCTATTGGAGGGCAGCACTGCCAACTTCGGGCACAGTCCAACTGTTTGGTGTGATAGGGTCAACCAGTGCTGGATCGAGCATGACAATGGTGATATGATTTTTGTTTAGAAGAGTGGTTCAACGTTTTGTTTACCTTTTGCGTTGGAACACGCGACCTTTAGTCTGAGGGAAATAGAAGCAACAGGAACACAAGTAAGTGACACCTCAGCAGACTTCGTTCACTAAAAGGACGAGCATACCACCTTTCCAGATAACCTGTTACATGCAAGACATATTTTTCAAGTAATGGCAGTTTTTTCTCTTGAGGTCGTCCTATGGATCGATCGCAGCTATATAGTTGACACTTGAGAAAACGATTACAGAGCCAAAAACCAGGAAAGAAAACGAACTCTTAGGTTCTAAGTCTTTTTCTTCCAATTGAAAAGGGATTTTTGGAACAACCAAAGGTGGTGTGTCCAATTTGGAAACCATATACTCATCCTCAAACTCATGCTTGAGGTCTTGAGCACTCTTCCAGCTGGAAGCTTTTATTTAGAACTTTAGGAAGCTCAGCACCACCGCTGCCATCTCCCTCCTGGAGGATGATAGCACTGCTTATTAAGAGGTCCGTTACAGTTTCGCTGGTCTTTGGGGCTGCCAGCAATGAGTGACACAAAATTGAAAGCCTGGAGAAACAATGTTAAAGAACCAAACCATCGATGAAGGAAAACCAAGGAAAAAAGAAAGAAATAAACCATCTCACGCTTCCAACAGTGATGGAGAAAGAAACCATCACTCACGCTTGCAAGGGCCTGGAGAAACAAAGAAGCAAACCAAAAGAAACCATCACTTACAGTAGATGGCCGGTTAGCATCACTAGTAGCTTCCACTAAGAGAAACAATTGATCCAAACCTCCAGAGGCCAGTGATGTTCGTACCATATATATGATACTTAATTCCAACTGGTGTGAACTATCGTTCCCGCAGTTAACCTGCCCCTCTCTTCTAAAATGTGATTTTTTTTCCACGGCTTGTTTTCCCAAGATGCTAACGCCTCGAGGCCAATGCTTCAATTGCATTGCTTCAAAAAAAGAGAAAGAGCTTTTAGAATTCCAGTTCTAGCTTTTAGAATTCCACAGTACCTCAAAGTGCGTGAAGATGTGGAACCAAAATTGGAAGACCCTCCCTGAAACTCCATATTGTATAACTAAGGAGATCCTCCAAGGCTTCCAGATTCTCGTCATCAAGCTTAAGAGCAACCGGTACTTCAGTCCGGACACCTGAGAAATCTTCTAGAGGTGTAGTCGTGAGGTACCTTCCATAAAAAAAAAACCCAATCCTTAGATCCCAACCCCAATTCAGTTATGATACTTGTCGTCGTAAAAAGCCGTTTCCGGTTGTGGAACATGTAGCTGGATCGTCCTCTCCCCCAGAAAACCTCGAAGTATCTTACAAGCTCTGTAGGGGTACTCTTTTGCTGTGAAGTCTTCCTCCTCCACATGTTTTGGCTGAACAGCAATTTCCTGCACAAACACAACAAAAGAAAAAAACAAAAGCCATTTAGTGAATCAAATCAGAATGACTTACAGGGGGGATCATTGCATCATATTTGTCACACATCCGTTTTGCAATGTCAACCAGCTTGTAGTCATCTGGCCAGAATTCCTTATCCCGGCATCCAGCTTCTTGCATAAGAGAGACAAGAGCTTTTGGAAGCATTGCCATATAACCTGGCAAAAGTGAAGGTTAGTCTCAAAAACACTACAAAACAATCTTCCACCTCGTACAAGTGGAGCCTGCGCTCTAACAGTGGTCATCGCACAATCTTCCATCGCGAAATATTCCTTTGGAAAAGCCAAAAGTTACTAACAAAACCAAAGAAGAAAAGAAACAATAACTTACTTAGCCAGCTCGCACAAAGCCACCCAAAACTCGTGCCCGGCTGGTGGTACGTTCTCTCCAAAACTTGAAAGAATTGGATGCCAAATATCTCGTTCGATGATGCCAAGCTCTATCATCTGGAGAATGACAAGAACCTCAAGCGGAGGAGCAGTAGGTACTTCCTTGAGATTCACAAATCTTCTCCCCATCCCTTCCTCAACGATGATCACTTTCTTCGGTCGCTCTACCTTGTGTCGCATCGGCGGTCTCTTCATCTTGCCACCTAATCACAGTTTCCGTTAGAGAATCTCCAGAGGATATTACGATCGATGGATGCATACAACATACCTGGAGTATCGAAGAATGCTTGGCAGCGGGGAAAGAACAGCTTTGGCACTTGGGAAAACCGTGCTTCAATTGATCGAGCTAGTAGATTGCGATATTATATCCCGATTCGAGGCAAGAAACCATACCAGGATACGCTTGACGGCAAGGAAAGAACTGGCAAACCCTCGATTGCGATATTAGATCGAAATGTAGCCTACATTGGACCAGATCGAGGCAAGAAATCATACCTGGAGTATCGAAGAACGCTTGGCGGCGAGGAAAGATGGAAAAGCTCCACTCGATCGAGCTAGTAAATTGCGAGTAGATTAGATCGAAATGTACCCTACATTGGACCGAATCGAGGCAAGAAGCCATACCTGGGGTGCCAAAGAAAGCTGGGCGGCAAGGGAAGGACCAAACCCTCGTAACACTAAGCTGGATTTAGCCGGATTGGAATGGGGGCTGGCGTCCGTCGATGAGGGAAATTATCCATTGGAATTTGGAGGCGGTGTGAGGTCCGGGCGGGAAAAGTCTATACCCTTGCTTGTTCATCATACCAGGGTTAGATGCTTGTTTCTTTCGGTATCGGCTACTACGCAGAGCGATCCAACTCTGTAATGATTCTCTAAGCAATTGGCAACATCCATTATCAAATGTGATGTGAAAGATCTTGAACAGCTTTGTTGATGTTTGTTCAGTTTCTCCCTGTCTCACATTGCCAATCACAAATGTAGTATAAAGTAAACAAAAATCAAATTAAAGTGGCTACATAAGGTAAAACAAAGCGTCTTTTGGGATGCAATTCTAATTCCCTGACTTGTCTGATCGATTCTATCCACTCTTTGTTTCTATAATCAAATGTTAGGTTCATAAAGCTGAAATAACCTGTACACAAGTAGAGGGACTTGTGTTGTATCCCAGTAAAGACGGTTACTAATTCCCCTCGAAACGATCCTTGAGGACAAACGAAATTGTGCACCCTCTCCAAACTACCGGGCCTTGAAACAAACCCTGTCTCCGAAATAAAGACGATCATATCACCATTGTCATGCCGTACAATAGCCTGAAGTAACTCCATGTTTTCAGGAGCAATGTTCCATTCATGCTCAATCCAACACCGATTTGATCCCAGCTCACAGCCTATCACGCCAAATTGTTGACCCTTCACGCCGACGAAGTATGCAGTGCTGCCCTCCAGTAGCCATGTGTATGGCGCTGACCTCATCCACAAGGCCCAGCCATCTGGCGGCGAGTACTCCTGGTGGCGCCGCCACGACCAGGTCAACGAGTCGAACACGTCAATGCCCCCCCCTGCTGGGGAGTAGATCGTGTAGGAGAGGTCGTCAGCTGAGACTTTCATGTTTGCTTTGAATCTGATGGGCGATATACCTGGCAGCTCGACAAATGAGTTACGCTTGAGGGGATTCCACACTCCAAACTTCCCTTCTTGTGCACCAGAAAGAAAGCGGTCGGAGAAACAAAGCAGGCCACCGGCAGAGGCAACGGGCTCCCAGTTGGGGAGAAAATCTGGATCTGGCAGTGGCAAAACAGTTGCATCATCGCCAGTGAAAGGATTGTAGATCCTTAAGGACAGGCAGTGGCGTTGTACATGTTGTGTGCATTCAAGGACGAGTGGATGCTGTCTGGACGTCTCTACCTTGGCTTTCGCAAATTCCTTACTGTCAATCACTACTTTCCACCTGTGGCACACAGATCTTGCACGCAGCAGAGCTTTTACATGCAAGAACACTAGAATCCTATCCTCTACATTCACTGGAAACATTGCCTGCTGCTGTTACTTACAAACCTCCTTTGGTTTTTAGACTACCCTGCACCGAAAAAGGCATCATACATTACATCATCGGATAAAAATAAGGACCATTGTTCTTCTTAGGATTTGTTTTCTGCGAAACTCAACTTCCTTGGTTTGTCTTGATTCCACGAAGCGAGAAACAGCCGATGAAATGCAGGTAAGGTTCTCGAATGATTTGACGATAGGCAGATCACACGGCTTTTCTTTTGCTTTCCCTTTGTTTTTCTTTGTTTCTCGAGAGTGATAGTTCTCTAGGACAAAATAGTATCAAGGCCTTTAGCCAAAACTCACGCAATCGGCATGTGGAAGAATTAGCTGTGTGTTTCTTTTTTCAAAGATTATGTTCGTTTTCTTGTGTTTTATATAAGACTGCTATTATCAACGTTTCAACATGGTAGCTGTGAAGCTTCGTCCATGAGGCCGCTGTTTGGCTGCCGAGCGATTTTCGATCGATTTAGTTTTTCTCTTGTGAACGACCAACACCAACGTTTCCAGGCGCAAAATATCGCTGCGATAGAGAAGGAAAATGCTTTCAGAAGAAGTTGACCAGAGTTTCGTGACTTTGAAAAGCTCTCTCGGAGATCTCTGAAGAACATTCAAAGCAATCCAAGATTGGATATAAAGTTAGGTTTTGATTCTCTCGCACACGATTGATAATGGCAAGTGGTCTTGGTAGGACTTGCTAGTTATAAAACTTGCGTTGAGTCATCTATCGAAAAAACCTGGTTGGTCAGACAGGTTTACCTTGTCAGCCCAGGTATATGGTGAGGGATTTGCGATCGGGCATCTGCGATTGCAGAAGCCTCACAGTTGGGAAAAGAAGTGATGCTAGGGTCAAACTCTCGCTCTGACACTCATAGAACTCTTGGGGCCACTGGATTTCCCCAGCCGGTGGCAAAAACCATGAGAAACCCCACGTCGAGGCACTGAAGTGCATCAGATGCCGTGCAAAGGGATTCCCCACACGCCAGAAAAACAACACCAGCAGCTCTCACACACAGCGACATAGCTCAAGGCACTTGCATGGGATGTTGCAAGCCTCAAGCCACTCTCCTTCACTCTGAAACACGGGACACAAGCTCTAAGCACACTGCTATCACTGTTAACCGCCAGTAAACACTTTAAAACACAGGTCGGACATCACAAAGTCACAATAGCTAAGACATTAGCGATTCCAGGATGCTGTATCTCGAGGTTGTGCCTGTGCCTTTAGTGGCTCTTCTAGAGCTGCATGCTAAAGCTAGGGGCCTAATGAAGCCCTGGCCAATGTTTCCACATTTTCCAGTTGAGTTGTCAGGCTGGTGACACATGGGGTCAGTTGTGACGAGTTAGATTTGTACCACCACCCTGGGTGGTCATGTACTTCCGTAAGAAGTTACGGTTCCAAGCTTCGGTTGTCTGAGCTGTGCGTGACTTCCAACCAAGTTGCGGTCCAACAAATAGGAAATTTAGTAAAGGGAGTATGATGATGATTTTCCATGAGAACTAAAAAATACTCTTCTTCCTTTTACAAGCTACCAGCATCTGGTTGTAGATCTTGCAGAATGCCTGAAGGTTGCGCTTATTGGCTTGGCTGGGTCAGAGATTTTTTCTAACTCGTCCTGCTTGTCTCCATCAGAAACCAACCAATATGCAAATCTTTCCTCCACGAGCAACTTCTCTGATCGTTCAAAAGTATCCTCTGTGCATTCTATGCAGCCAAAAGCCTCCTCCCAAATCTCTGGTAAGTTTGGATATGGAGAAACATCCTCCATGTCATAGGTAAGCTTCACTACACAAGGGCTTCAAGATACCGGTATAGCCACCTTACACTGCACAATCTGTAACTCAACATACTTCTTGCGCATATGAAATCAATCACCTTTGACAACTTTCTGAGAAACTTTTCGAGATGAATGGTAGAAGTCAACATAAGAATCTGGAGGTAAAAAGAAAACCAGTAGGGCGTCATCGTTATTGTTGTGGCCCTGACAAAACTCATCTCTCCAGGCTTTGAGAGCCTGCTGCACCTTAATTGTAGCCTCAAGAACTGGCCTGTGACTATAATGAGTGACATTAGCCTGTTCCAGAGTGTGTGGTAACAGCACAAAATCAAAGACCGCATAATTCATATCCTTACCTACACAGTAGAAGTAAGTAAGTAAATAAAAAAAAAAAAAAAAAAATACCAACTAGCTGCGACCAAAGCATCTTCAGGATCACTTTTATAATATTATAACAACAAGCCAGAAGGAAATGTATTTTGACAATTTCCACACTCATATTTGAAATCAAATTCTGAACTCAAATTCCCTAACAACACATTTAGTATGATACCACTTGCGACAAGTTGCACATTGAATCATCTTACCCTTACCTCGATCATCACAACATTGGCAACAAGCAGTGTCAACCTAAAACACGCAGATAAAAAGCATCAAAAGGTGAAAAATTATTAACATCTTACCATCGGTATACCATAATGTCCAGTGCCAACGCTTGTCTAATCACATACTGCTAAAAAACGAAGCCCCTCAGCACCGAGTACTTGCTGAAGCCTTGAGAAAGCTGCGGATTTTGTCCACATTGGTTCTACACACCCAGAGTAGAGAGTGGCCACCTTCCCCGAGCAAAATGTATATTGGAAACAACTGAAACAGCAGCTAGGCATCACGTTGAAGTGGAACAGCGTCTACGAGAGGTCGGCAGAGCTCTGCAGGATGCTAGACACTTTCCTGAGCTTGGTGTTGGCCAGGCACTTCCTTGCATTTGAACGTGTGAGCGTTCCAGGCTCATGATCCCACAGAAAACTTGGGATGCCACCCAACCAAGAGAATGCTAAGTCGGCAGCCTGCATCTTCTCCTTGATCTCGTTTGCGTCTCTAGGGGCCATCTTGTCCGCTCGCAACTTCCACAAGCAAACCGAACTCTCCCATGGAGGCAGATAGCGTGTGTACGTGTGACGAAGTTTCCTCATGGCTCTGGAGTTGTGCTCGTCCAACAAGGCAGCAAGAAGAACTCGGTTGCCAATTCAGTCAGGAGAGCTCTGTTGGTTGATCAGATGGAAGGTAACTTCAGGCGATTCGATCTCGTCTCGTAGAGAATGACTGACTGTGGCCGTTCAATCCCCGTCCAGATGATGAAGTACCACAGAAATGCGGACTTGCCCACACCGGGATTCCTGTTCAAGTGGCACAGGAGGAACTCGCGTAACAATCTCGTTGTAGAGCGCATCGAAAACTTCCCTCACAAGAAAGACTTCACTAAGCACACTTGACACGATCACATTGCCTGGCACAATGATACCCCCTAGACCTTTGCGGGGAATTCGGCGAGTTGGGTGCTTGCAGGAGTGGCAATTCAAGTGGCCCAAGTGCCAAACAATGATGGGCAGAGCTTGGAGGCAACGAAGCAGAGAATCTTGGGTGAGAGCTTGGAGGAAGTTGTACAAGAATTAAGTGAAGATCTCAACGAGAAAAGTCTTCTCGTTTTCCGCTTTTGAGAGTCGATCCGCGGGGCAGCCGCCACTGTCGCCAAGAGAGAAGAACACGTTCTCAAGGAAGAAACCGATAATGACCATGTCGTCAAGAGGCAGTTCCCGGGTAGGGCGAGCACGTTCCGTGCCCG